GTTTTAATTATTTTTCTCTTCAAAAATATTTCATATTAAAAATATATGAGAGGAGATAATATGACTTCTCCAAAATAAATGAAATATTCGGGGAAAATATATTAAAATCAAATAAATGATTTTATTTGAATTTTATTGCAATTTTATTTGAATTAGAAAAATTGCACGTTTTCAAAATTGCATTTTTAGGCCAAGAAAATGTTCACCATGTTCTAAATATTTTATTTAGACGGTGAAAATTTGTTTTGGTATTTTTAGATTTTTATTTATTTTTCTAGCACTTGTTTTGTTCGGTGAAAATCTTTAAAAAAACTTCGCGTGCCCGACTAGGCCAACGACCCAGCCGAGCCGGGTCGGCCCGCCTCGTCGCCGCCATCGCCTTTGTCCCCGAGCCGGACTCCTCGAGGGAGCCCGAGCCGCCGCCGATGCCGCCCCGCCGCCCCTCCACCAAGCCGCCACCTTCCCCTCTTTTAAAAACCAACCCGGGGCCCAGAGCCGGAGCAGCCGCCGCCTGCCTCGCCTCGCTGCCGCCTCCCGAGCATGCCGCCGCCGCCGCCCCGCGCCGCTCCGCCGTTGCCCACGCGCCGCACGCCGCTGCCCCGCCCTGCCTCGTCTCGCCGAAAACCGCCGGAGTCGTCGCCACCGTTTGCCGGATCTCGCCGCCGTTTTTTTCGGTTTTTAGGTAAAACCCCTTTTTTTAAAATCCTAGTTTCGTTTTTTAGATTAGATCGGTTTAGTTTAATACCGGACGTTCGTCTGTACGTTCTTTTTAACGAATGATGTTCCCCCGTTAGCCGCAGACAGTGAACGTTCGTTCGTTAGCCTGTTCGTTAGTTTTTCTTTTTCTAGGGCTTTTCCACAATTATTTCGATCGCGATTTCTGCCTTAATTTTCGTTTTAGTTTAACTTTTCGCTCGTTTATGGGAATCAGGCCATGTATATATAGTCGGTTTAGTTGTGGTCTGCTAAATCCTTATGCGCCTTAAAAAAACCGTGTTTAATTTGCAGAGCCTCACGTGTTTCAAGTATGAATAAGAACTACGAACTCTTTTTGTGCGATTCAAACACATTTCTAGAGTTTTTATTTCTTAGTACATATTGTCTAAAGGAACATTTGCCCAGAGAGAGAGAAGCATACCCATCTCTCATTATGATTATTATTAAAAGGTATTAAATTCGAAATAGAAAATTTCATTTACTTGAAGCACTTGAAGAAAGAGAACATAGACATACTTTTATGCAATGCTCATTTAACCTGTGAAGGACTATGCAATGCTCATTTAACCTATGAAGGACAAAAATATTTCACCGTCTGTGAATGATGAACTAAACTAAACAAAAAATATATGCAGTAAATTCATTCAAAGTAGAAAAGGGATCTTACATCAAATAAGGCATTACAACAAACATGGTGTTATCTTTGTAAAAGAAATTACATCATTAGAAGAGAAAAGGGAAGAAAACCAAACATGAGATTGAGATTAATACATCTAGGAGGAGGTCGTAGACACCACTGTGATCATTTTGCGGCCTGGGGAGCAAAGGATCCATGGTTCTTATATGCCTTGTCCGGCTGCTGGAGTAGATGACATGGAAACGTCGTCTCTACCATCTCGATGGCTTAGACCCAGGGGGTCGGATGTTCATCTCGGCCCTCCCCAGCTTCCATTAATGGATTTTTATAGTCAGAGTTAAAGACTGAGAGGCCCTATGCATGTTCAAAGATGCGAGTAGCATATCCAATACAAATCAAGAAAAAGAAAAGAGAAGACCACAAACATCACAAAAACACAATTTTCACAAATTATCTCTATTGTAAAATTGAGGGAGTAACTCACTATTCGAGAGATCTGGCCATTGACAATTCAGTTATAATTATCAAAGAGAAATGTAAATTGCTAGCTTAATTACATCATTCTTCACATAAGCTTCTTACTGAGGAAATTTCTTGACTGGAAGGTCACATTTCAAGCCATTGCACTTCTAAAACCTAGCCCTACTATCATTTAAATTGCAAATTAATCATCAATAATGCACAATAATTTATGACCCACAAATGATTTGGAGCCTAAGGAGGAGAAAATATCAATGCAAATAAATGCACATGTAGTAAGATGTATTGCAATAGTGGTATTACTTGAATTTTTAAGCCGACCAACAAAATCAGATCAATCATGCATAGTACACAAAAGAGACAAAGCTTTAACCATAATTGGTGCTTAACCTTCTTGCTCCTGTTAATGATTTTGGCCATGAAGGCATCAGAGTAAGGGGAGGAAGAATGGGACGGCGCCTGCCGGAAGTTGTCGATGGGTGTTGACGGCCTGGCCAAGCCATCTCCCTCCACGATAGGTGGCAGTCGGCGGAGAGGTGTAAATATGACGAGATGTGAAAATAAGCTCGAGGAAATTAATATGGACCAGCAAACTGACAAAAGCAGAATATAACATAATTATATTACAGAGTGTACTAACATAATTATATTCCAGATTAAACTAATGGCACAACAATTTACATGGTTAGAATGCAGTGCACATATATATCTCAGTGGCGCAAAAACTGTTTAGCCAACTTCACTAACAATGCAGAAATTGGCTTCAGTGTACTAACATAGTTATTTTGGATATAAGCAATCAACCACGAATTTAACATCAGAGATATCTGACCATTTTAAGTAACAAAAAAAGAGCCCAATAGCAGCACAACATGGAGCTGCATTAACCAGCCCCTTTTAAAGAAAGGCTTTAGGATCACAAGTTGTGTAGTTGATCAACTTGGAAATATAAAAGAATTTACTTCAAATCAGTACAACACCACCGACAAATGCGATGTGATAAGAAAGCAATGAACATATACACTGCTCCACACTTAGTTTTGTATGTAAAGAGAAAGCCATGCCAGATGATTTTTTTGGATCACAGAAAGCCATCCTGAATACATCTGAATGATATAATCAATTTTCGAAATGTTTGGCAGGCACAAGAAAAACACACGAGTAAAAATAATAATATATGATTGGTATCTGTATTTGATCCACCTGGGTACATGTACATCCTAAAAGCAACAAGACAAGCTATCATCCAACCTCATGTGCAGCTTATCACATGGTACACAGAACTTCACAAATTATCAGGACATCAATCAAGTATTAAAATGCATGAGCAAGTAGATAAACTTACCCCAGAACTTGTTTCCCAAAGTACTTACAACACGGTGACCACAATATAAAGCCGGTGACCTGTACTGATCTGCAGGACTACATCATTGTAATTTGTTCAAACCAGCACCTAAATTCCACACATTGCCTCACTACATGCAGGTGAAAAGGCATAAACCAGAACGCAACTGAACAAGTGATAACAAGATTGGCATACCTACTTTGGAACTTGTATGCAGAGCTGGGGAAATGAGAAAGTTGGAGGTAGTGTTATTGTGGAAATCCACATAGACCTGAAAAGAAGTTAGTCAACCAATTAGATAAAAGACCTTGTTTTGAGTATACGTGCACTTAAACCTTTCATTAACAATTGTTTTGTTGCTCGTCTGCACCATATGAACCCAAAGTAAGTTTTCCCTTTTACTTTTGTTTTTTATGCAAATGTGTAACAGAGAGAGGGTCTGAAAAGAGAGATAGTTCAGAGTAAAGAGAGCACGGAAGGGAAGGGGAAATTGATGCGTGAGAGAATTAAATGACCAATAGTTCTGTACATTCAGCAAGATATAGATGACAACATTTTATGAAAAGAAATCACACGATCCTATAGAGCACAATAAAACCATTCCTAACTCAGTTTAGTATAAAAGTACTACACTACTAAAGGAGAGCTAGTTCTCACATAGGAACAAAATAAGATCAATCACGCAGGGTCTGACATTCATATAGATACCGAAATATGTATACAACATCACTACACTTGCAAGGTAACTCTAAAGCATGCACATGCCACATCAGATAACTGTTCGAAACTTGAACGGCTTTTATTTCTGAATTATAACTGAATCCAATTGTAAATATGTTACAACATTCAACAAAGATTGCCAATTCTATACGTCAGATGTACCAAAAGCTGTGTCCATTTTACTCTGCTCATGTTTCTATAAAAATTCATATGGCTCTGAAAAGAAAAATAGCAATGTTAAATGAATATTTTGGATGTTTATCATACGAGCCATGTCAATAAGGACCTTTAAAATATTCTAAGCTTGCAATAATCTTTCAGCCCAAAATCACTATCATGCTGCAAATAAGCATGAACATACAAAGCGGCAGTCAGTCAGGCACCTGAAACGGCGAGCTTCCCAAGAAGTTTCCGGCATACTGGTAAGCACAAATGCCTAGGAAGCGGTAGTCAGTTAGGCACCTGAATAAGATCAAGCTTCAGAAGAAGTTTCCGTTGTGCAAAATGTCTCTGAGCATCACACAATCATGTGTACAACATCTTCTGATCCTGCAATCGATAATATTCTGCAGATTGCATCAAAACCTTTCTCGGTGATTAATAGGCTGGATAGAGCGATTGCCAAAGGTAGCACTTACGCATAAAAGGAAATAAATGGAGGAAAACGACATGAATTTCTTCAGCCTGAGCAAACACTCCAAACAAATTCCAATAACACATAGTAGTAAATCGTCCACATGGGAGCTTCATCAGGCAAGCAACCTAGCTAACAAATATTTATTGCATCCCTACTATGTGGTCGTACATGAAGCATCAAGAACACACGTGCAAAAATATAATTCTAATTGAATTTAGCTTTCAGTTGGCATTCCCTCAAACAGTTAAGTGCACCTATTATTATTTGGCTGACAAAAATATGAACACCAAACATGCCATCATCGTTAAGCAATTCAAGGATGTCTATGAATTGGACATGAAATATTTGGAGCATGGAATAAAAAACAACCCACTGTCTTCTGGTGTAGATGCACAATAGATGCACTCCTTCAAATAGAGATCAATTTTCAGCTGAAATAATAGATGCACTCTTTCAAATATGCATCATAGTAGGTCCTACAAAAATCATGAAAAATTAGAGGATGCGACTTGACTGCCTTCTATATCATTTGGAGGACAAAAGAAGCTAGAAAAATTGTGATGAACCACCAATCCCTGTTAAAAGTAACTATCATTCCCCTGTGATATATGGATATATCAATCAAGAGAGAGGGGGGGGGGTTATCCCAGGAAACACTTTGCAAACATAAGCTTTTAAACTAGTAGTTAACTTACTGTCAACATGTAAGGTTGCCTCATTTCTGAAAAACACAAATCCACCCTAAATTTTCACATGAATAAAATGTAGATTTTAAAAATGTTTATTATTTAGATTTGTAACCTATCCAGCAAAATCATCAATCGTGCATTCAAAATCTGTAGGTAAATAAAAGAATGGGAAATTTTCACCACAAATCTCATCTAGCCATAACAAATCTTAACATCAGAATAAAAGAACAAAGGGAAGAAAAATCACCTTGATCTTCTTCAACTGTTTAGTTAAATTCTTATTCTTCCCTTCATCCTCAGATCTGCACACGTAATGGTTAAAAAACTAATATATTAGTAAGTTTAAACATTAGCGATGGGAATGGAGGAAGTAAGAGAAAAAGTGAGAGGAGAGCACCTTGGCAAGACTCTTGAGGAATTGCTTAGCAAAAAATTGAAGCCGGCAACCATGACCTCAGCCTTCAACTCCTTGCAAAGACCCTGCAGCCATCACAATCATTCATGACACAAAGAGGGGAAACAGACACCTCAACAAGATTCTTGAGGAAGTGCTCAACCAAAATTTGAAGCTGGCAACCCATGACCTTGATCCTCCACTCCTCGTGGCGCCCCTGCAGCCAACACAATCATCATGAGACAATGTCTGGTATCTTCTTGTAGGAAATGGAAAAAGCAAAGAAACAAATAGGAGATGCAATTGCCAATAAGACTATACTCACTTTCAAATGATCTGAAACAAGAAAAATTTGCAAGGGGCGTGAAGGGGAGAAGGATTGAGAGAAGCTCACCTTGACAACTTCGAAGCTCCTCCCATGCGGACCATCTTCAGCCGTCAGGATCTCATCCATGAAGATGCTGCTTTTCCCTATGGCCGGCCTCTCCTCCACCCCGTGAGGCATCCGCTGCCCGGTCTTCGGGCCTCGCTACTCCACTCCACACCGCTGGCCTCTTGGCCCTCCCCTGCTCTCTCCAATCCGACACCATGCCTGGATCGGCCGAGGCGGAAAATATCCCGTGCCTTCTCTCATGTGCTCTCCCCTCCCTCGATCCCCTTCTTCCCTCCAGTCGCTCTCTCAGTTTTCGATCTGGAGCGGGAGGGACCGACGGAGCCATCCAATGGCGGTGGCTGCGGCGGTGGAGGCGGCGCCGACATGGGCCTGACACGACCACGCAGCAGTCAGACAGGGGAGGAAGAAAGGTTGCAAGGTGGATCTGGTGGCGGTGATGCCGGGGCTTGAGGCAGAGAGGCGCTAGTCGCTGGGCCTCGCCGTCGGCCTCCTTTTTATCTTCCTTCTTTCTCTCCCTCGTTGTCCTCGTTTGCCACTCTTCGTCGCCCTTTGCCTGCAGGTCGGTGCTGTGGTGGGGATCCGGGAAGGAGGAGGGGGCGGAAGGGAGGAATGGTGCGGCGGCTGTGAGAAGGAGCAGGTGGCTGTGGATGGTGGTTCGGTTACTGTGGGGATCGAGGGAAACGGGTGCTAGGGTTTGGGCGGCGGCTGGCACGGGACTGAGGCGAGGAAGGAATTGGGCGATTGGTTGCGGAACACGCGGAGTGGATTGTCCAAAATCTCCTGCACGCGGGCATGGCTGACCCAGTCAATGAACGCCCAAAACGAGCCCATCCATCATAGGCGAGTGGAAATGACCGCGAGGTGAAAATCGAATTTGACTTTTGTGAAGATCCAACGGCTCAAGCGAGTTAGAGTGCATATCGGACGACCAATGAAGGACCAATCGGGGGAGCCTCCTAGAGGTGAGTTGGCTAGCCTCATTATTGTTTTAAATGTAATTTTTATTTTTGAAATTGAGTCTCCATCCTCTCTTATAAAAGCACCAACTAGGAGGCAATATGATCGTACTTAAGTATTGGGTGTAGCTAATATTCGAGTGTGTTTCATGAATGGATCAATGTTTGAGCATCATGGGCTAGGGATAACTTGTTTTAGCATTGATATTTTGAAAGACATGGTTGCTTGTTAATATGCTTGAGTATTTAAATTATTCAAAACTAAACTATTGCTTTGAATCACATAAAAGTCTAAATGTCCATGATATAAAGAAAAGAATATGATATGACATGATAAACAACACTCCACATCAAAAATTCTGTTTTTATCACTTACCTACTCGAGGACGAGTAGGAGTTAAGCATGGAGATGTTGATACATCTCCAACGTATCTATAATTTTTGATTATTCCATGTTGTTTTATTATCAATCTTGGATGTTTTATAATCATTGTATAGTAATTTTATATCTACTAACCTATTGACATAGTGCCAAGTGCCAGTTGCTGTTTTCTGCATGTTTTTTACATCACAGGAAATCAATATCAGACGGAGTCCAAATGCCACGAAACTTTACGATGATTTTTTATGGATCAAAAGGAAGAAGTTGGGCCCTGGTTGCACCTGGGGGGAGTCCCGAGGAAGGACAACCCACCAGGTCGCGCCAGGAGGCCCAGGCGCGCCCCGGTGGGCTGTGCCTTCCTCGGGTGCCCCCCGGACCGCACCTTTGCTCTATAAATACCCCAATATTCTAGAAGCCCAAGGGGAGTCGATGAAATATTCATCAAGCCACCACAGATTCCAGAACCACCAGATCCAATCTAGACACCATCACAGAGGGGTTCACCACTTCCATTGGTGCCTCTCCGATGATGCATGAGTAGTTCTTTGTAGACCTTCGGGTCCGTAATTAGTAGATAGATGGCTTTCTCTCTCTCGCTGAACTATCAATACAATGGTCTCTTGGAGATCCATATGATGTAACTCTTTTTGCGGTGTGTTTGTTGGGATCCGATGAATTTTGAGTTTATGATCAGTTATATCTTTTTATATCCATGAAAGTTATTTCTGTTTCTTCGATCTCTTATATGCACGATATCTTATAGCCTCGTATTTGTTCTCCGGTATTTGGATTTTGTTTGGCCAACTTGATCTATTTATCTTGCAATTGGAAGAGGTGCCCGGTAGTGGGTTCGATCTTACGGTGCTTGATCCCAGTGACAGAAAGGGAACCGACACGTATGTATCGTTGCTACTAAGGATAAAAATATGGGATCTATATCTACGCAATAGATAAACGGATCTTCTCTACATCATGTCATCGTTCTTATTGCATTACTCTGTTTTTCCATGAACTTAATACACTAGATGCATGTTGGATAGCGGTCGATGTGTGGAGTGATAGTAGGAGATGCAGGCAGGAGTCGGTCTACTAATCTTGGACGTGATGCCTATGTAATGATCATTGCATGAATATCGTCATAATTATTTGAAGTTCTATCAATTTCCCAACAGTAATTTGTTTACCCGCTATTTGCTATCTTTCTCGAGAGAAGCCACTAGTGAAACCTACGGCCCCCGAGTCTTCTTTCTCATATATTTTCCTTGCGATCTACTTTTTCCTTGCGTTTATTTTCAGATCTATTAAACAAAAAATACAAAAATACCTTGCTCCAATTTATTCTTATTTATTTTATTTGGTGTTTGATCTATCAATCTACTACAAATTTACCTCACGTCCTTTGCCTATCTTGAGGCGTCATACCCCAAAAGGGATTGACAACCCCTTTAACACGTCGGGGTTAGAGGTGTTGTTATTTGTGTGCAGGGGCTATTTATGTTGTGTTGCTTGGTTCTCCTACTGGTTCGATAACCTTGGTTTCATATCTGAGGGAAATACCTACCGCCGCTCTGTTGCATCATCCCTTCCTCTTTGGGGGAATATCGACGTAGCTTCAAGCAACATCAAGCGCGGCCACCCCCAGACGCGCCCAGATAACTTATGGGGCCCACGTGGCTCCGCTGACCTTAATCTCAAGTCTATAAATACCGTCTCCCCGAGAAAAAAAATAAGAGAAGAAGTTTCATCGTGTTTTACAATACAATGCTGCCACCATCTCCTGTTCTCATTGGGAGGCCAGATATGGAGTCTGTATGAGGCTCCGGAGAGGGGGATTCGTCGCCATCATCATCACCAATGCTTCTTCATCACCAATTTCATGGTGCTCACTATCATTGTCAAAACCGGCGGATCTTAGGTAGGGGTTCCTGAGCTGTGGATCTTGGATCAATGGGGAACAAGGGACGAAGGAGACGATGTTTACCCATGTTCGGGCCCTCTCGAAGAGGTAAAACCCTATGTCCTGCTTGATTATATTGAATTGAATAGGATGATTACAGAGTCGATCTACCACGAGATCAGATGAACTAAATCCTAGGTGAGTAGGATGTTCGTTCTTCTTCTTAGCCTCTACACACTAAACCCTATGGTTTATATAGACACTAGGGGTGCTAGGGTTACACATGGTCGGTTACAACAAGGGAATAAACATGACGATTCTACCATCTTGACTTGGAGGACACACCAAGGCTTCAAAGATCTCCTGTCCGGACACGGAGTCGCGTCATAGCTCGACCTTCTAGTATTTGTAGAGCTGCCCACCTATCCAGCCCATAAGATATAAGCTGGCAGCCTGAGGACCCCTTAGTCCAGGACTCCCTCAGTAGCCCTCGAACTAATCTTCGGAGACGAGGCATGTGCGGGATTCATCAGCTCCGCAGAACAGTTCCTTCCTTCCTCGCTTTTACATCAGGTTAGCAGTCCTCCTCAGCCAAATCTTCAAGGGTACCTCACCCAAGTTCGGCCATGCATTATCTAGATTATGTCCTGATTCAGAATTATGAATATTACTTAGCCTCGAAGGCCAACTGCTCAAGTATGAATAGTGCCCTCGCCTGACAACTTTTGGCGAAAGGATACAGCCAACCACAAACACTGACTGATCGTGAAAACTCCATTCGTGGTTCGAGGCAGCTCCTCCATTGGCATGTCCCGACAAGATGGAGATTGTCGGTGTCAAAACCGGCGGATCTCGGGTAGGGGGTCCCGAACTGTGCGTCTAGGCGGATGGTAACAGGAGACAAGGGACACGATGTTTTACCCAGGTTCGGGCCCTCTCGATGGAGGTAAAACCCTATGTCCTGCTCAATTAATATTGATGATGTGTGTTACAAGAGTGGATCTACCACGAGATCAAGGAGGCTAAACCCTAGAAGCTAGCCTATGGTATGATTGTTGTCCGTCCTATGGACTAAAGCCATCCGGTTTATATAGACACCGGAGAGGGCTAGGGTTACACAAAGTCGGTTACAATGGTAGGAGATCTACATATCCGTATCGCCAAGCTTGCCTTCCACGCCAAGGAAAGTCCCATCCGGACACGGGACGAAGTCTTCAATCTCGTATCTTCATAATCTTGGAGTCCGGCCGACCATGATAGTTCGGCTATCCGGACACCCCCTAGTCCTGGACTCCCTCAGTAGCCCCCCGAACCGGGCTTCAGTGACGACGAGTCTGGCGCGTATATTATCTTCGGCGTTGCAAGGCGGGTTCTCCTTCAAACTTCATGTTCCTGTCGAATAGTGTCCGGCTTCCTTATAAATGTTGCGCTCCTTGGCTTCTACGCCCAATAATGGCCTTCTTCCACGTGTCATATGAATGCGAAAAGCTAGGGTATTTTTACATTTTACCCCCTAACCATGCGAACGAGCCGCCTATAAGAGAGGCAAGGATCTAGATCCAGCTCACACCATCCTCCATCCGCAAGTTCTCATCAAAGCGCCTCTGACAAAAATCCATTCCATCATGGATAGTCGACGCGGCTCCTCCTCTCGCGCTCCTAGCCCTAAGCCAGGAGATTGGGGGAGATGCTCAGTTCCACACAACGAGCTAGTGGCGCTCCAAACCAAGGGATATCTTCCCCCAGCTTTCATGGTTCCTGTTCGAGCCGGACTGGCCACCTTCAGGGGTGGAAAGCAGGCGGAGAGCGTCCCCAACCCTTCCAAAGGAGAGCGGGTATGCTTCGTCCCCTATCTAATAAGGGGACTTGGATTTCC